CAACAACAACAACAACAACAACAACAACAACAACAACAACAACAACAACAACAACAAAAATATATATAATAACAAACAAATGAGTTGACGCTGGCAGCTCTGCCACTGCGCAGTCGCGCATGCGCTCTCTGAGATATTTTCCAGCTTTTCCAGCGCTTCAGTTGGTGGCGAGACATGAAGGCGGCAACACAAGGCGAATGAAAACCCGTTGAAAAAAAAGAGAAAAATCGCGCGCGTTTTTCCATCTAATTTTTTGTTTCGCTGTTTATTGCTTTTCGTCCATTTCATGGACAATAAACTCATTTTGCATTAACCACAAAAATCAACAAAGTGTGCAAAGGCGGTGGTGGTGGCGCCATTCCCAATAGAAAGCCTTCATTCAACTGGCTTAAAAAGTGGGTAAATGTGGCTAAAAAACGTGGCTAAAAGTGGCTACAAGCCATACAGATCCCAAGAAGATGAAGATGAGTGTTTGTTTTAAGCAAGTAATTTATTCGAACGACGCGCAGTGAGTGAGTCAATATTGTGGTTGCCTCCAGGAGAATCAATGCATTTGTACGCCGCCCCATTAATCTCAAGGCATTAATGATTTAAGGACAGGCATTCATTTGTCATTCGTTTCGGTAAGATATTGTCTGGGTCTGGGATATTAACCATTAATTGGGGTAAATCTGTTGGCTAAAAGGCTGGCAGATAAAATCAGCATTTATTTGTTTGCTTTTGGGGGGTAAACACACACAATCTGAAAGTGGTAGTGTCTTGGGGGGTTTTTGAATTTTCAAGAGAAGAAGAGTGATTGAGAAATTTAATATTTATTTAAGGCTCAAATGGGAAAAGGTTTAATTAACTTTTGATTGAAGGGAAGTTTGAGGTAAATGGGGGAATAAAAGGTTAGATAAAGTGGCTTATTTATCATTGCTCACTTTATAATTAAGTAATTTAATATATTTATATGAAATTTATAAATCAAATAACTACAAATACCTATTATAAATCATATTAAATAATTAGTTATTATTTATTGAAGTTACAGTCCACTAAAACAAACAAAAATTAATTCTTTATTCAAATAAATCCTAAAATACAATCTCTATAAACTTTGACATTCATCACAAGGCTTTTCAACACACTTTTGACCTCAGAAATGAAACACCAAAGTTGTAAACTTGGTTTTTAAGCCAAAATCCTTGTAGTTTCTGGCTTTCCGGTTTCCACTTTACATGATTGAGTGTCCTGCGACAAATGCGAAATGCGAAACTTATTTGTCCTCTCATCGACACAGAGCCGCTGGCCAAGTTGTCTCTTAATTTATGTCCCCCCGAAAGACAAGTTCGCGTGCAAAGCCAGCAAAATGAAATGCAATTTGCGGGCAACCGCTGGCTGCAGGCAGCGGAAAATTGATTTAGCATTTATTTCCCTCTCAAACCTTCACTGCTGCTGCTGACCTTATATTGCGGCAATTTTCGGAAAATGTCATTTGAAATGTCGCATCATTTTGCCAAGAGTTTGCGACAGGTTTTACTTTGGGCAACCCTCTCTCTCAGTTGTTGAAGTCTTTAACAATACGCTCTGATTATTCTTTTATTTATTTTCAATTCTATATTTTCACAATACCACCGACGTGTTTTCTATTGTCTGCAACGCGTGAGAATGCCAATTGCGAATGATTTTATGTATTTATTTTTATTTGGTCGACTTTATGCTCCGGTGGCTGTATCTGTATCTCCCAGCTGTATTTTTGTATCTGTATCTGGTTTTCATGTAAATCCGCATTTGGCGGTTTGCCGGCTTGCTTATTTTTTCACCCAATAGATATCTGTGTTAATTAATTTGGCGCTGTCATGCGAGTTTTGCCATTTTCATTTCCATTTTGGCACGAACATGTTTTCATTTATTTTTATTTTTTTTTTAGGCTTAATTTAATTAGCTGCTGGAGGCAACAACTTCTTTTGTTCGATATGTATTTGCCTATTAATGCAATATGCAATATGATCATATTTCTTGTGCTTGGCATTTTAATTAGTCTTTTCCCCTCATTATTTCTTTAAAGCCTCGCTGCGTGTAGGTTTTTTGGTCTGAAAATCGCTCACTAATCGCACGCAAATCGTTGCAAAAAAGTGAGAAATTTAATGCGGCGCGTGTCACAATAAAATCAAGTTGATAACAAAACAAAAGGCTAACACGTGACTTGAAAACCAAAACCAAATTTGTAATTTTAATGATTTTTTCAAGAGAAAGAATGTTTATGCCAACAACAGCGGCTGTCAGTCATAAAATGGCATTAAAAGCAATTAGCAACTCGCTTTATATTCCTCGCCGAAAGCGAAATGAACATATTGCCGGCAATAATTAAAATCCAAAGCTCTTTGGGAGGCACAAGCAGTTAGAAGGAAATGAAAGCGGAAAAACGGCTCTCACTGAGTCTAAGAAAAAAAAAAGGAAAATAATAATAAAACACAGCAGTGCTTGCTTTATAAAGTGTACTTGTGAAAACAAGAAGTGCTTTTCAAAAAATAAAGCAAAAATACTTTGTAAAATATAAATAGCAGGCTAGGTTATAAAGATGTTTGAGAAGAAAGCCACTATATCCCCTTCAGTAACTTATAGCTGACCTAGGTCAGCATTCAACACGATAAAGACTGCTGAGAACTAAGTTAAAATGGGGGAACAGCTTGGTTATCACCACTTTGCAGCTAGAAATAGTTGGGAATTCTAGTGCTGTAAGAGCTAGGGATGTAAATCGAGGAGAAAGTTTCGATATTTTCTATCGACAAACTTATCGTGCTCAATATTATGTAGAAAGTATTGTAAATTTATATATATCAAATTTTTAAGTATCGAAAAATAAAGGTTTTAACTTTAAAAATAAAGAAAAAGTAATTAAATTATGTCTTTATCGATAAAATATAGATTTATTTCCAAGTCATTAAATAAAATTAATACAGTAACCAAACACATTTTCTATCTTCCCCATTAATTGTTCAAATGCCACACTACTTGAGAATAAACTTGTTAACTAAGTTTGAATTTTCTTTTTTATTTTTAATTTAAAATGTAATACAATTACTTGTTTTCGAGTCTTCACTGTACTACAATTAGTGAGATATTATCGCTGCTAGCGAAACACGCAAGGTAACAATTCGGAGAAGGCATTCCACACAGTGTTGACATCCGTCTAATTAACTTTTAAGTGAAATACAAAGGAGAGCGCTACAAAATGGCAGCAAAAGAACATTCCCTTTAACCTTTGTGTGGCCCCCCCGGGAGTGTGTACTGAGTGTACTTTGTGTGTGTGTGTGTATGAACCCCCCAATGTATGCTAGCCAAAAAAGTAATGGTGCCAGCAATAGAGCAGTGAAAATGAGGCCAGGCCACCAATGCTAAGCAGTTGGCAGGAGAGAACACACACACACAACACCGTCGACGTCGTAGTCGCTCAGCACTTTCTGGCTCTTTATTTTTTATTATTTTTATGTGAGCTGTTCGGTCCATAAACTTGGGTGCTTCTAAAAACAAGGACAAGCGGCAGGAGAGCCCAGACGAGCAGGCTCAAATGCAGTCGCCAGAATGGCGCGCCGGATCCTCTAGAGGAGAGGGAGGCTGGAAAACAGAGACTGGGAGACTGGAGACCGGACGGTTGGAATCCCCGCCGCACAGTTAAACATTAGTTGGCAACATTTGCAATTGTAATGACTCGCATCTAAAATGCAACCATCCGGTAAAATGGTGCCGGTAAAATGGTGCCTCCCACCACCCACCTTTCCCTTTTCCGAAAAACACCTGCAATTAACACGGCAGAGCCATAGCATAGCAAAGGGGGCGGGGTCAGTGGGCAAAATGTATGCACCTGAACTTTGGGGTATTAGAAAGTATTTTGTTTGAATGCAAATTGTGCAGAGATTAGGCAGAAAAGTTTTCCAGCAAGCTGGCAATTTCTAAAGCCTGCCATTATGCTTTCTTTATGGCATTTCATAAGTTTTTAAAATATGAAAATTGTTATTGAGTTTCTACTTAAACTTTTAATATATTTTATAGAAAACTATAAACAATATAAGAAAGCTTTTTCTAGCTCAAAAGTGTGCTTAATAATTAACAACTTTTTAATGTAATGAAAGGAAAAAGTAAAGCTAAGAAATCCCCCTGAAACCAAGTCAAAGACCCTAATGAAATGCATTGCCAATAACTCAAAACTACTCACAATTCCCCTCGGCCAGACCAAAAGTTCTGCAGCTATTTTCGCAATCAATCTGCCAATCGATGGCAGACGTTTTCCATTTACAAATAGCAAATAGCTTTTCCCAGCTTTTCTGGCTTTTCCGGTGCAGCTTAGCACCCACGAAAACCCCAAAGTCACAGCTGCTGCCGCGGATCTCACGCTTCATTTGGCAGCTCAGGTGAAGGAAGGAAAGCAGGAAAAAAGGGAAAATTCTGCGCTAGCTAAGCAATTTTCCCCCAATCAGTCAAAGGGAGAGCAAACTGGTAAGCAAATGCCATATTCCTTTTGGCTTAAACGCTTCTTTCAGTTCTTTTCTGTTCTTTGCTGGCCCCTAAAAATGTTGTTGTGGCGTCTGGGTGCCCCCGAATGAATGATGGCATTGGCAGTGGTCCTTGGTGAAGGAGAACTAATGTTTACGACCCTCGAAACACCATTGGAGGAGCTTAATTCAACTGGCGGACAGGTGGCAATGGCTCATAAAATCGAGGTCATTCCTTATGTGTTTTCAGCTACACTTGAACTGTATTTTGAGTAGTTGAAGAAGAAGTTCAAAGGAGTAATTTCTCACAAAACCATATCCCAAATTCAATAGCTATAAATTAAGGGAAAATAAACTGAGACAAGAGAGCTTTTTAAAGTGTATTTCAGGCCATCAAGTGCTTAATTTATTGTCTTATTTCTTTGGCTATAAGTTTTTTAGTCAATTAAAACAGTTCTTTAAGGGGAAGCAATAAATCCCCTAATAAAAACCCAATTTCTAATTTATAAATCCCTCAATTTCCAGAGGCAAAGACACCTACAGCTACCAGCACAACTACGTGGATCGAGTGCGTCTGGAGGACACCACCATTACCCCCAGCAGCACCGGTGGCCAGCACCATCACCAGCAGACCACTCACGATCCGCGGTGTCCACAGCTTCGAGCCGCTGGCTGGCGACATACCCACAAATCCATATCGCATCTCGACTTGGCCACCAGCTGCCATGAAGCAGCCGGTTCTGGCTTAGGTCGTCACTCGCAGCAGCAGCAGCAGCTCCTAAATCACCATCACCAGCAGGGCCATCTCCTGCACCATCACTCCCACTCCCATTCCCATTCTCACTCCCACTCACATCCCCACGCTCAGCCCCATTGGACGCAGTGTCGCGTGGGCGTAACCGGAAGTGGCAACTGCACCGGAAACGGCCAGCTGAGAAACGCTCGATCGCTGGACTACACGCAACTGGAAAGGGATGAGAATGCCTTGGACATAGCCGAGTTCTATTGGCGATTCGATGCGGAAGCACCGCTAGACCAAGTCGAGAGCTACGCGGGTGAGTTGAGGCCTTCAGCGAAGGCAATTTGATCAGAAACTACTCAACCAAGTCGAGTTAATAGATTGTTATTAAAAGAGTATTGATTTCTGACATATTAATAAGATGTCTTGTTAATTATGATATCTTTATTGATTTTTTCTGATTTTTATAGCTCTTCCTATCAAGGACTCTGCAACGAATCCAGAAAAGCCTGGAGAAGCCAACACACCCAACTCTAATACACTCTCCACCTCCAATAAGTTGACAACAAATGGTGGCTTGTCACACAGTGGAGTAGCCAGCGCTGCAGCCACCTTGCTCGACATTTTGGGCAGCGGCGAGTCGTGCAGCTTGCGAAGATCGCGCAGCTTGGCCGTAATCCGTGAGGAGACATTTAGCGACCTGCAAATCGGCTCCGCAAACAGCAGTCGTCGTCGATCGCAGCTAATACCGCGTGCCCGGCTTGTTAGTCGTGGATTTTTCCGCGAATCGCCAAGGTAAGTGAGTCACTAGCACTAAGCTTTACTACTATTTTTGGAATTAAAAATATTTAAAATACGGTTTTGAAAAATCTTTTAAAATATCTTAAGCTCAGGAGAATTTAAATAACTATTAATTATGGCTTTAAAAATCGTTTAAACAAAATTAAAACCTTTTCAAACAATGACTTTGCTCTCTAGTGCTTTCAACACGCATACGCCGCGTAATCCCAGCGCGGTTTTAGCTGGCCGAGTCAGTCGTTGAGCGAAGCTCGCCGCAAACTCAACAGGTCTCTCGGAGCACAGGCACAATTTACGCTTTTTAAACAATTTGAATTCGTGAGCCGGCGGCCAAATTGTTGCGGTTGGTTTGTTGTCGCTGTTACCATTTTCCGTTTGTGCTGCCGTTGGTGGTTTCATTGGTTTTGAGTGGCTTTCATTGGCCTGTGCGTCTGACGTCTGCCAGGTCAGGGTCATGGCACGAGGTCATTGTTGCATTAAACCACCACTGACTACAGTTGAAGAGAAAAAAAAGGCAACGGGGAATATATTGTGGTTTAATTTTCAAAGTGCTAATACTTTTCCAATGCGGTTTGTCGATTAAACCTAAGCCTGATTTGTGACAACTGCCAAGTCCAAACAAACGAACATCAAATCGGTTTACACAAGTTTTTTGTGCAGTTAAAAGTTTAGTTGGAGTTTTTTGTTTTCTCATTTAGTAGTTGCTTCACTTGTTTAATTAAAATCGCAAAAGTTTGTTTTGTGTCAATTGTTTACACAACATAACCGAGTAGCTAGAGCTGCATATGAGTCCTGCGGCTAAAAGCTTTTAGCTTCTCTCTACTCCTGCACATCCTGACAATGACAGCTGCCAGGGCACTTGAAATCGCATCCTTCCGGCGGCCCCCCTGGCATTCAGTCTCGGGGTTTTTATTTAATTTGCCGCAAATCGTCGCCATCAACTCAACTCGACTAGAGGCGACGAGTGCAATGTGCAACTGAAAGCGATCCGGAGTCCAAAGGGGGAAAATGTCAGCCAGCTTGGCTTTAATGCGAACTAATGGAGGCTTAACATCCGAGCTGTTAAGAGGTTTTTATTTCTATTCAGAGCGAATGTCAGGCAGTCGAGCAATGAAATCAATACAGATTTATTTATTTATTAAAGAAATCAATAGAGATAATAATAGAAATAACATAAAATAACAAGGGAAATAAAGCCAGCAGGAATTTATGTTCATCTCTAATAAATTTGGAAAAAGCTTAATGGATATTAATATAATATATAAATCACCAGACTCACATTAAATTCGTGTTAGAAACATGATAAATGGCTGTAAATTAGTGACCATATTAATAATTGTAAAAGCCTTTTCATATATCACACAAGCTTTTAATTTATAGCAAAGAATTAGTCTGGCAGTTGTTTATGAATAGAATGATTTATGTTGAGTTTTTCAAGTTTTCTAAATGTTAAATGCAACATCCTGTTATGCGTACATCTTCATCACCTATTTCAAACATTTAATTTCACTTTTTGCCTTCACAATTCTAACCATCACCTGTCCCAGTTTGTACTCTTCCCCTTTTGAATGACAAACAAGAACTCGGCTATGACTGGCCTGACATTCTCTGTTTGGTTTTTGTTTGTTTATGTGATTTCTTCAAATGATTGATTGATTGATTGAGACAACTCTCACATGACACTGAAAACGAGGTCGGCCTAGAGGGAGTCAGGGAGATGAGATGAACTTAGCAATCATCTATCTATGTAGTAATTGTAATTGTAATTGTAATCGTAATTGTAACTTTATGCTTATAACAATGGCCCCATTAGCGAGCCCATCCTGCCGTTTCTGATTTTATTTTTTTCCCACTCTCAGATTGAACGGCAAAGCGAATCCAAATCCAACGACCTTGCTAACCGGTGATCAGCCAGCCGATCAGCAGACGGCAACAGAAGACGCCCAGAGCCAGAGAAGCCACTCAAACACCTGCGATTCGCATCAGCAGCAGCAGCAGCAACTCCAACTCCAGCAGCAGCAACGCCCATCGCGTGACTTTGATGTCTACTACGATAATCTGAAACGCTTGGACGCTTTGGCTTTGGGTCTGGCAGAGCCATTGCATCCGTGGCACAACGACAAGAGCGACTTGGAGAGTCTCAATTCGGACTATTTCAAGAACTCGCTGCACCAGAATCATCTCGACCAGCAGCAGCAGCCTTCCTCGCTGGAATTGGAGGCTTTGGAACAGGTGGCCGTTACCCTGCTCAAGGAGCGTCCCAGGATCTATCAGTCAAGGAGACAGCAGCAGCAGCATCACAGGAGTTTGCATCATCTACAGCGGCACCTGGACACTGGCGGTGAATCCTGTCCCGAGCACAGTCAGAGCAGCATCTTCCCGGAGACCACCACAAGTAACTCTGACGATCAAACGGACAGTCCCTCGCTCTCGGAGCAGGAGTACGACTTGACCCACATTGAGGAGATTTACCAGCAGGGGGATCAGGGAGAGGAAAGCTACGAGCTGATTAGCCTGACCACCACGGCCAGGACAAGACTCGAGAGCAGTGAAGCTGAGCAGGAGGAGGAAGAGGAGGAGGACCAGGACTCTGAAGTTACGCCCACAGAGGCACCCACTGCCAGCGACAGTGACAGCACTTTAAGGCAGCAGCAGCAGCCGCGCACAGATCAGGTGGATCGTCTGATAGCCTACGACTCGGTTTACCTCTCCTCCGAGGACAGCTCCGACTGCACTTTGATAGGGGAAAGCTGCGAGTCCTTCGAGCAGCGAACCTTTACCAGTTGCGGCGAGAGTGGCGAGTTGGAAACCCGCAGTTTGCTGCACATTTCCATTGAGGATACAGTCTACGAGCCCCAGGCCAAGCAGCACAAGAAGGAGACTCCTCCAGGGCTGACCACCAGCACCATATCGAAGGTAGAAGCGCAGATCTTTACTCAGGTTCTCAAGGTAGAACACACGCCCAAGCCCAAGATTTTAGCGGTTGTGGAGAAGCGCAAGCTCAAGCAGGAAGAAGCCAAGCCACAGCCACCGGAACTGAAGCGTCAGGCCACAGACTCCTTTATAGTCACCAACTCCAATAGCAAATCCAATCTCACAGAGAACCAGTATCACAGTCTGCCGGATGTCAACATTGGCGTGAGCTTGAAGGTCTGCGAAAATATAGACAAGGAGCTGAGGTCATCCTACAACCAGCAGAGGCAGCAGCAGCGCAAGGAGGCCAAGCAGCAGCAGCAGGTGGTGACCCGCGCCGAGACCTACGATTCCATAAGACGCTTTGGCCGGGCCCACCAGAAGGCCAGGCAAAGGGAGTTCCAAGAGCGCGAAAGAGAACGCGAAAGAGAAGCAACGGCGGCAGCAGCAGCTCAGCAGGAAAAGGATAAGGAAAAGCCAAAGATACACAAGGATTTCCTTAAACCGGAGTTAATCAAGGAAAGGGAACAAAAATCACAAGAAAAACAGGTTGAGGAAGAAGAGTTACCTCTGCCGCCACCCCCGCCACCTTTGACAGAGGATATCCTGCTCGGCGAGGAGCTCTCAAATACTCCACAGGTGTCGCCGGAAATCCAGGAAGAGGAGGAGGACAACCTCTCGGTATCCATTTCACAGCCAGAACAACCCAAAGAAGCGCCCTCCATTGAGGTGGCCAATTTCAGCAAGCTAATCGAGCGTCGTGCCCAGGAAATCCGTGAGCGACAGGAACAAGCGAAGCCTTCTCCCTCCTTCCACATTATTGTCACCGACGCCCAGAACAATATCATCCAAAAGGAGGCCATCGCTGAACAGAGCAAGCAGCAAACCAAGCGGGGAATTAATCCCACGCCCAAAGCAATCTCAAACTCAAATTCAAACTCAAGTGGTAATCCCAGCCAGCGCTCCCTGCGACGCTCGCTGAGCTCCTCGAGTGGCAGCAAGCCCTTGGTGCACCGCATCCTCAGCAGCGGTGCTCCGATTTACAAGGCACGGCCTGTCAAGGTCGTTGGAGATTCCTCCTCCTCCTCGAGCTTTACCCGAGGCAAAATGTCACGACCTCAGATAATGCACGTTGTGGATGGCCGAGGAGGCACTCAAGGAGTATCTGCTGCTGCTGGTGGCACCCTGCGACGAAGGAGCAGTGCCCGAAGCCTGGCCAGCACAATTAGTTCTGGGAGCGGAGCCCCGGCTAATGAATATATGCAGAAAGTGGATGCAGTCCGTTGCTATTGGAACAAACTGGCGGGCAATGAACCAACGGAAATTGCAAAAACCGAGGAGGAGAAGCCAATGGAGACCCAGCCAGGCGTTCACTTCCAGTTGGGTGGAGAGACCAAGGCTTACAGCCAAGATAAATCCCCGGTAAACAGTGATTTCTGTAGCATGATGCCGCCACCCTCCATTGAGATTGTGGAACTGGGCGAGGGCTCTCAAAAGGCCACCATTGTGAAGGCTGCCATCGAACAGGATGAGGACCAGGACGAGGATCAGGATCAGTTTGATCACATCCGTTACAAGGTGCTCAAGTCGCAGCAACTGATACGAAGCAACATCCTGGCCACGCGGAACAAGAAGGAGGCGCAGTTCGATGGCCTCATTCAGTACCTGCAGGAGTACAGCTTCCAGGAGCTGCTGAGCAACAATAATGTGGTCATTGTAGAGCCTGTGAGAACCAAGATCGAGCGTCCCCTGCAGGTGGGTATCAACCCGGTCACCACAACCACTGTGCCGCCACCAAAGCCGCCAAGAGCCGTCAATGCCTCGGGTGGTGGTTCCCAGCCTAGAAAACCCCGACAGCGACAAATCGGAGGAGGAGCTGCTGCCAAGAGGCACTTTTTCTACCAACCCGTCCGAGTCAACAGAGAACTCTACGAGGATGAGCTCCCCGATCCCGATACAGTTCGCAATGTGAGACGCTTTTTCGAACAAAATGTCCTGCCCACTCCCGGTCAGGGTTTGCTGGTCCAATCACAGCAGAAATTCGGTGGCTCTGCCTGCCAGCTGAGTCCCAAAACCCGGCGGGCTCGCGGCTACCGATACCTCACCATCGACACCAGCTACGGCGGCAGCCAGGAGCAGCCCAAGGGCATGGAACTGCTGGAAGAACACAAGGCCAAACACTGGGACAATGCCAGTCTATCGAGTGGCATTTCCAGCGGGGATTTGAGCTCACCCTGCGGCGAGTATCAGCAGCAGCACCACCACCAGGAGACTCCCGTGATGGCCTGCAAGGATGTCCATGTCCAGGATGTGGTTAGGCGACACAATAGCAATGCGGCCAATGCCAAGGCTCGGGCCAAGTTCGCCAATCGACGCACCTGGTGCCCAGGCGGAGCCAATGAGTCCCTGTATCGGCAGATTTATGAAAATAATTTGGGACAAGGCGAGCAGCAGGACGAGGAGGATGAGGAGCAGGAGGAGCAGCAGTATGAGGACGATGTGGAGCAGGATATGTGCGAGAACTATTACGTCAGCAATGTGAGTACAACACGGGGAGAAAATGTGAGGTTCTTTTAGGGGAAAAAAGAGAGAATTTCTGGAAAGGTTCAAGGAAGTTCTTAAATTCCTTCAAAATAAGTAAGAATAGTTTTTTCATTGAATGCAATATTTTTAATTTATAAAATTCCTAAAATTCTCTAGTTAATTTATAAATATTTTCCCTTAGTGCATAGCCTTTTTCGGGTGCGGTCCTTTTGCGTGTGGCTTTATGGACCATTAGCCCTTGATGAAAGACCCGCCGACTAATCTTTTTCTTTCTCTTTATCGTTTGCCTCGCGTCAGGACGTGCTGGCCAAGATAAGGGAGTGCGGCTCAACTGTCACCTACTATGGAGGTCGGGTCCTGGAAAAGACCACAACCAGCCAGGCGGTGCCACCGCCCACAATGAGTGGGAGTTCCAGTCAGTCGCAGCAAAATGGATTGGCAAATGGAACCCGCTCCCGAGTCCGTCAAATCGAGGCCTGCAATGTGTGCCTGCCGAGCGAGAGATGCGAGCATCGATTGCAAAGCAAACAGCAGACTGCGGCGGACGAACAGCAGCAGCAGCAGCAGGACTCGTATCAAGGTGGGTAAAGAGAAGGTCCAGGACATAACCATTAAGGGGGTTTCACTGGGAGAAAAATTAGCATGAAAACATGACATTTACTAGGAGAATTTTATAGGAAAGGGAGTGTACTTTGGTTATTGAATTTTAAAATATTTATTTAAGGCTTTACAAAGGAATCTTTTTAGGGTTTTAAATGAATAATAAAACCTAGACTTCAGGGAAATATTTTTAGATAAGAAACTCAACATTTAAATATTTAAAAAACAGGACATAAAAGACCTTCAACTCTTGTCAGGATTATTTTATCTTCCTTTAAGGTTTATATATAATTTTTATATAAATTTATCATGACTTTATCTGGGCAGGAAAATTCCCCAAAAACTATAAAAAATATACTAAAATATTACAACTTTTTTCCCGTTTCGCCCCGTGCATCTCCAGGCATCAAATTCAAGTTGGTCAAGTCCAACAGCTGCAGCAGCCGCCTGGAGTTGGCCGGCACTGGCGTAGGCGAAGGCGGAGGAGAACTCGGCGCCGATAGCGAAGTCGTGCGCAAAATGGTTCATCACTTCGAGGCGAATCAGATGGATGTCTGCGATGACCAGCTGACCATCAACAGCCAAAGCCAGATAGCGCCGGAAAGGAGATACCCCAAGGAGGAGGAGGAGGAGCAGAAAATCCCCTTGGTAGTGCGTCGCCAAGTGACAGTAAATAATCACATCAATGTGTTTGGGGACATGCCCCGGGATGATCTCGAGAAGGCTGAAAACTTTAATGGCCAGCCGGAGAATGGTTATGGCCGACACAAGGCGGAAGAGCAGGATGAGGAGGAGGTGGAGCAGGAGGAGGAGCTCTACCAAAGCCAGGCCATGAACATACGGCTCGAGAATCCGCCCCCAGCTGTTGCCAGCAGCAAAGTTTGTCGCAATAAAAACGTGGACTTGGCCTACACGCTGGTTAAGGCCGCCACAACCACACCCGGCGCCACCAGCACACATCATCCAACAAATCCTCCCAAGGGCAAGACCATCGAAGTTCCGCCAAAGAAAATTGAAAGGAAGTTTGGAGGAGGTGGTGGTTTTGAATCAAAGGAGAATGGTTTGGAGATTTCTGCCGTGACAAAGGCCGTCAAACCGACGAAGGTCGTTGCGCCAAATGACAGGCCACAAATCATAGTGCCCGTGGAGATACACCCGCAGGTGAACAGTCAGGCTTTGATGGCCTCTCCATCTCCTGTTTCTGTACCCAATCCCCCCGAGCGCCGGCTGAGCAATGCCAGCAGCAGCAACAACTCGGTGGTGGACAAGACCGTGGTTCGTCACTATGTGGCCAACGATAAGAGCATCTATGAGAGGCGCAAATATGATGAGATCGAATTCGAGGAGTTTGAGGTTTACGATCCCAGCAAGGAGCCGCCACCGCCGGTAGAAGAAGCCCCCGAAAAGGTGGCCACCGATGGGGAGCTGTACGACAGCCTGGATGACAAGATGTGAAGCGGAAACAAAAATGCTCAATTGGAAACTTCTTGGGGTTTGGTTACCTTAGTTAGTAGCCTAATTTAGCTAGCTTTACAGGTAAAGCCAAAAGATTATGCAATAACTTTTATCCAAAGTATGATTTATTATTATTTAAATATATAGACATTTGTTCACCTGTACATTATAAATTTATGCCAATAAATAAATGAGCAATTTATTTAACAGCTGTCGTCCCCCATTATTCATTATGCAAAAAGCTAAACTATATATTACTTTGCCGGGGATTTGCAATAAATTGGAATGGTTTGTTGTCAAATAGGTGACACCGCAATGCCCACTAATTGCACCCACTAATCTTTAATTAATCGATTATTTATAGACAAAGCAAATAGTTGATGAAGGCGGGAGTAGAAAATTGAAAATGGTCTGGTAATTAGGTGATTAGAAAGGGGAGGTGTTTCATTTTGATTGAAATGTGTAAGAGCTTTGCCTGAGTTTGAGGGTAATTTAGCAGTTGGTAAAGGTAATTAAAAAAGTTAATAATTCCTACCTTGCGAATTTTTCATTTTAGTTTTCTTCCTATGACATCGCAACCTTTTCTTTTTCCTTCTTCTATTAACTAAGCCTTTCTTGAATGGCTGCAGTTTTCCTTTTATGAAAAAGGAAAAAGATTAACACCTTAACTTTCCCAAGACACGCAAAAAACTCACTTTCCCTAGATTTTTCAAGGCGCCTCCTTCTGTACCTTCGACGATGATAAAATTTCATTTTTAATATTCTTGCCAAATTCTCCATCATTTCCTTATATATTCCTATCCAATGTTCAGCTTTTTTCGACACTAAAAATTGTTGTTTTCCTGGCTCCGCTTTGGTTAAAGTTTTTAGTGCCTTTTCAGCCAACTCTTTAAGCCTTTGCATTAATGAAAAAAACTGATTGAAATCTTGAGAATTCCCATCTTTCTGGCACTTAACCCGATATTGATTGGCCTTCTTCTGACTTGAACTGTGATCTGCGATGAGAATGATGATTGATATGCTTAAAATTACCCCCAAAAAGCTCCCCCGGGAGCATGCTTCAACCTTCAATCAGTTTTTCGATTTAAAAGAAAATATTTACAAAATATTTCAAAGGTAAATATGGTCCACCCCTTGGAAACTCACCTCCAGAATTCAGTTGGTTTTTATGCTTGTCCGACTTTTTGCCATCTTCGTCGTCCGCCGTGGAAGCGAAGCTTCTGTGCTGCTGGAGCTCATGACCTGGTCGTAGGTGCTGCGGGAAAAGGGAAAAAGAGGAGAATATTTGCAAATTAACATTAATGACTCCATTTCGCATTATTGATAGTGGCTTAAATTGGCCATAGATCTTTCAACTGGCAGAAAATAGCTCAGGGCTGGGTATAAACGTGTGCATATGTGTGTGTGGGGGAAAATTATAGGCCTTTAGGATGACGATAACATCTCGGTGTGCGTGTGCGAATAATGATTATGCGATTTTACGGGTGTGTACTTGGTGGGGTGAACCTTCATTATGGTGTCTGATATATTAAAGGTGATATAATTGGTTTGGGTAATCAAAATCATACAAGTTTTGTGCTTTCTGAGACATTTTTAGCCTTTATAAAGGGATATTATATTCAGTTTTACTAATTTTATTGATTTAAAAATACCCTGAAATATTATTTAATTAATTTTCTGTTCTTTTCAAACCCCATAAACTTCAACACATATTATTTAAATATTTTTCTCAGCTCTCTTATGCTTTATTTACATAACAAACAAATGAAGACACTAAAGCTGGTCCACCCTGGTGTACAATGTTCACATTCCTTTCTATAGAACTCCCCCTCTTTTTTTCCAACATTTTTTAGACTGGCATTCTTTGCATGTTTCAGCCAGGACCTAATTAAGTTAAAATGCTCCCCAGTGAAATCACGTGCTCCCCATAACGAGCGACGAGACGAGAACGACAACGAAAAGTCACACTCAAAACAAAGACCAAAACATATAAAAATGGAGAGAAAAAAAGGAGAGAAGAGAGGAAATTGAAATGGAAAATGGGATGCGTAAATACAGTTATTGTTAAGGCACACCCGGCACACATATAACCCACAATAACCTCGCCCTTCTGCCACTTTTCTTTAACAACTTTTTCTTTTTCCTTCATTTTTTTTCAAACGACAACGCGGCGTATGAGTAATCACACAAGGGACTACAAAGGGAAATCGAAACTGTAACCGTTTACCTTGTCATTTAAGCCAAACAAAAAACAAGGTAAAAGAAGCTTGGTAGGATCTCCCAATTGTCAAATGTTTTGAAGTTTAAAGCATAAAATCCTGCTGTAAAAGATATAAATATTTAATTCCCTAAGGCCGCGCGCACACTACGAGCTGAAAGCGGAGCTGACGGCTGAGAGCTTATCCGCGGAAAGCTCATCAGCGAGCGGAGCTTTTTGCAGCCGCGCACACTGCGAGCTGAAGCTGACGCTGAATTGTTATGAGAAATTAATTGTTTTTCAAGCAAAACAAACATTTTTTAATTCTTCAATATATAAAAAAAAACATTTATTGCGATGACCTATTTATTTAGATCATCATGTCATTTAAATTTTCGAAATCGGCCCACCCAGTTCGCCAGAATATGGTTGACAAAGTACGTTTTTTTAGTGTACTTTGGCACCCTGTATCTCGGAAAGTTGACAATATTTTTATTTTAATAAATATTAAAAAAATTCTTTATACTTTTTTATATAACTGAACAGAAATTTAAATTTCTCTTACTTAAGCGCTAATTAGGGCAATTTTTTAAAGAATAGTCTAAAAAATCAGCTCGCGTCAGCTGCTGAAAAAATCAAACATGTTTGGTTGATCAAACAGAGCGGAGCGGAGCTGACCTTATCAGCTTTCAGCTCCGCTCTCAGTGTGCGCGCTCTCATACAAGTAGTGTGTTTGTTTCAGAGAGCTGATAAGCCGTCAGCCGTCAGCTCCGCTTTCAGCTCGTAGTGTGCGCGCGGCCTAAACTGCCAACCGTTCTCCAAAAGTCAACAGCATTTGGTAGGCCTCTTTCGCCAGGCTTAAACTACTTCATTTTACTTTACTTCATTTTATAACATTTTATGAATAAAATATTTCATTTCCTAACTTTGGACATAAAGATGAAGGCTTTGACATATTAAACGTTGGCTTAAGTCAAATTATATTAAGAGTTTATAAGTTATTGAGAGCTGCTGAAAGGGAATTTTAGCTCAAAATGTGAGGCTTGGTGATTTTTCCCCACCAATACGTATTAAATAAATTGTTTAAAAAATATTAAATTAAGGAATATAACTTAGAAGATAATAATTAGGCTATAGATTGCATTTTTCCTTTGCGGTTTAGTGTTTATATTTTTTATTTCTTATATTTAAGGAATATATTTTAAATATATAGTCGTTTTAAAATTGAAAAAAAGCTAAAAAGGCTTAAATATAAAAATTCAATTTTGTAGAATTTTATTAGTTTTTATTAATATTCTTAAACCCCTTAAATATACAACATTAATTCTTTATTTTAAAACCCCAAAAACCACCCTCGCTTTTTAGGCTTCTGCTGGAAAATCCCCAAAAAAGCATTGCATAATTTTGGGTGCAGCCGTCCAAGTGTCTGCTGTGTGTGTGAATGGTTTGCCAAGCATAAAGCCAGACACCAATATATATATAAAATATATATACTATATATATTTAGACTCAACCTGGAAACTGCGGCTTTTCTCATATGCTATGCACGCGCTGTGCCGGCCGATTCAAACTTTTGCTGATTGGATTTCACACGCTCGCCTCCAATCAGGGGGCTTCAATAATTCAATGGCGGATAAAAATTCTAAAAAAAATATAACAAAGTCAAGTGTTTTGGGGCTCCCGTCGAGTAATTGAAATTTAAATGGCAAATAAATTACACAGTCACGACCAGCACAGCCCCGAAAACCATAGATCAAATGGTGTTTTCCGCTGCGGCCGCAAAGAAAAACTTTTGTGATTTGTTGGCCAGGCGCATTATTGATGGACTCGGGGTGTCTCTGGGGGTGGACAAAGGACATTTGTGACAACTTCGAGGACAGTTGGTCTGAGTTTCAGTCGTGAGTTTTCCCTCCGCAAATCGAGTTCCGAAGCCGGCACTCAAAAGTTATGACCCCCGACGAGCTGTCAGTCGGCATCAAATGTTAAAAACTTGCCACTGCAAATGAAACATTAGGCCGCACATAAATTTAACAAGCTCCGACAGCCCCAAAACCCCCAGCGAAAACAGCCCGAGAGTATGCCACACAAAAGTCTGTGTTTGTGTCTGCTGGCAAAAAGTTTTCCTTTACGATCGTCCAAATAAATTGAAATCGCAGCTCAGCTCAGCTCGGCTTAGCTCAGCTTTCTCAAGAAAATGAAAATGAAAATGTAATTTCATAAATTACACCTGCTGTGGAGGAAGTTGCTCGCACTTGAGCCAAATCATTTCAAGTTAATTCGTGCTGTGGGGCAGCTTTAAAAAAATAAACAAAAGCCAAGACAGCCGCACTATGCAAACATAAGCAGCCTTGGACTCTGTCTGCGACATGTTGCAGCAATTGCCTCTTAATGAGCCCGACAATGTGGCCACGTGCGGCGCCCAAGTCTAGGCTAACACTTGAAATAAAAGTGTCCATGGATGCCTAAGAACAGCCATTCAATTTGAATCTAAGAAATTTCCATTTCTATCAAATAAAAAGGTTGTTAAAACAAGTTTTAAGGGGTGAAGAAACTTGTATTTAAATTATTTTTAAGAGTAAAATGCTAAGAAATTAATTGAGACATTTTAAAATGTTTTTTTTATAGGTTTTAGAAAGCCTTTCATATATTAAAAAATTATTATAGACCGACTATTATATCTTAATAACTTTATAAAACCTGAAAAATATGTTTTAAAATTATTCTACATATTTCTAAACCTTTTTAAAATTCAAATAAATTAAATTTATAATTTTTTAAAATATTTTTTTTTGTACAATGAAGTGTTTAAAAAATTGTTATTTTACCAGTAACTATTTAACTACCACAAATAAATAAGGATACTACGTTTTTCACAGTTTTATTAATATAAATAAAGACTTTTCATCCTTAAAAAAATACCCAAGGCTTTTAAAGCCTCTTCTATCTAACGTAAATATTTTATTTCTTAAACAAATATTTTCTTCTCCCTACTAGAAAACTCAAACTAATTCCTTCAAGTGCATAGAAAAACACGAGACACGTCACAGGACACGACACAAAGTCTAGGGAAAAACAGAAAGCCAGAAAGGATAGAAGCTGAAAGGAGGCCTCCTGACATGACAAAGGCATTCTCTTGGAATAGAGAAAAGCAAGTGCATGGGCTGGGGCACAATAACAATAAACAAAAGGCCAGCCAAGTGGATGTCTCTCCTCCGAGTTCCTCAAATCTTTTTCGTCTGGAATTTTACCCAAAAAAACAGCCAAGAAAAAGTCGCCTCACATTAGAGATAAAAATAAAATTACACAGCTTTGTGTAATTTGCATAACATTTTCATTTCGTTTTTGACAACTTTTTAAGACCCATCTTGAAGCCCCTTCTTGAATGTTTCAAATTACTTTTCATATTTTTTTCTTAGAGGCTTTCCACTTAAAGAGTGTAAAAACTTTGGTGAAAACTTTTCAAAAATTCGAAATTGATTGAAATTAAATTTTAAGGAACCCGCCGCTTTTGCATGTCAAGCAAGTTAACAAGAAAATGGCGGAAAATCCTAGACAAAGACTCGCGTTTCAGCCCTTTGTTGCTGTCGCGTGTCAAGTGGTGCATTCCGCGGGCTTTTAGCCAAGAAAAACAACATATTGTTCTTTCGGCGTTTGATTGTCTCTGAATGAGCTCGTTAAGCCCTTGGCCAAATGGAATAATGAATCCCATCAAAGCAATTTGTTAGCTTTGCCGCGAATGAAATGCAATTCGTGAGATATTTTATGGCTCTCTAAGCAAGGAGCATCGTCCTGGCCCAGTCCATTTATTATTTAGCAATTGAGGCTGCTGTGCAATGAATCATAAAAATAACACGGACAAGCGTTGAGGCAATAAGATTAGAGGAACGACATGGCAGGATCGAAGCGAGGACAGACAGGATAAACAGCCTGATGAAAAATCTTCGCATCCTCGCAACAAGAACAGACATCTCTCCAAGCCACGTCAATAAATTTCTATAAATATATTAAAAGGAAAGCGGGCAGATAGAGAGAGCTAATAAATTAGACACATGCTCTTT